AGTCATTTGATAGTTATAATAATCTGATTTTACAAGCACACAAATGCATTTACTGTTAAAAAAAAAAATGGAATAACTATAATAATGAGTCCTAACCTGGCATCTCAGCTTCAGTCACTTTCTCACTGATGTAACATAGCTTCCCTGTGCCTGTTCTATTTTCATGGTAATTGTTCTGATGAACTTTCCTCTTTGGTACCTAGACTTTATGAATTTAAGCATACTACTAGATTGGCAGATAGGTCTCATCATTTTACATTTGAATTGGCTAGATGTAACCATAAGTTACTAGCAGTTTCTTCTATTACATTTCTCACTTGAGGAACTCTCCTCCAGTTCCATGCTTTCCAGCCAACTTGGATCTTTAGAAATTTAAATCCAATTATTATCTACTGTCTTCTTGATTACTCTTCTCTTGTTTTTGCTCCTTAATAATGTTTCTCTTTTTACTTATTTTTTTCACACTCAGTAACACCTTGTGTCTTAGTGGCTCTACTGCTTTGCATGGAAGTGATATAATTAAAAAACAAAAAAAAAATTGGGAAATTAATATATGTTTATATATTAAACATTAGTCCAATGAAGTCCTAAAAGACGAAATTTCACTTGAAAAAAATTTCCACTTTGTCATAGATTTTTCCTAATATTTAAATGTAGATTTTATGTATATTCTGCCCCTTATCTTCAGTGAAGCAATGTTGTTCATCATTAAACAATAATCCAATGTTTATAGACAATGTTTAAATTTGTGTTCATATAATTAATTACTTAGTGTATCTTATGAAGAGAATTATACAAAACTAGGACATCACTGATTAATTAGTTGATAACCAGAAATTTAATTACTCTAAAGATTGGCAAAAAAAATTAATGAAAAATTGAGATATTGAGAATATTATTTAATTTCATTCTATGTCTAGGATAAGTGATAATTTTGAAGCTGGTGATGAAATTTATTGACTATGAAAACCGATAAACCTGCAAATGCTTATACTACCGATTACCAATTATCTACCAATTATGTGTACAACCCGATGGGTATTGCAGATTTAAAATTCCAATACTTCTATAGTAATTTTTTTTTTATTTAAACTGAATAAGTTGGTATTTTGTTGTCTTATTTTATTTAACATTCTGTTTGTTTCTCTAAACATTGATTTGTACATTTGTTCAATAGTTTGCATTTGCTTCACAATCTCAATCAACTTATGATTTAAATATTTTATTAAAAATATTTGCCATCTTAAATTGCAAAATCTGGACACTTTCCCTTATTTTATTCAAGAAATGAATCTGGTTTTGTCACCATCTCAATGAAGAAAAAATGGAAATCACTTTTTTTTTTTTTTTTTTTTTTTAAAGGGATTATTTAACTAAAGGATCAGTTGAAGCCACTAATTTTCAATATCTATGGTTTAAAATGAATTTTTATAAATGAAAAACTTTTTTGAAGTTTTCACTTTAGCCTTAATTGAAGGCTAAAGGATTAAATCTACTATTTCCAGTAAACAAAATACAAACAGAAATTATATTGGAATTGATTTGTTTTTTATTTTTTCTAAAAATAGCTGATTAGCACCCTTTTTTTTTCTTTTTTTTAGTCATCTTTCATCACAATGTAATTCTCTGTATTAAAAAATCTTTCAAAAATAAAATATACTTTTCTGAAACTTTATTTGAGCTACAGTAGCTAATTTGAAAAAAATATTATTTAAGTTTAAAATAACACAGAAATGTATTTTTAAAACAAAACAGTAGCTCTGTTTTTAACCAACATTGCCATGTTTTACGTAATTGACGAGGCATTGACAGATGATTGTTCTACAGAGAATTTCTGTTAAAACATAATTTAAGAAAATGACATGAGTGTCTTTTTTATATAATTTTAAGTACTCAGTAATCTAATTTTAGGAATGTTGACTTCAAATTTACTATAGTCATTGCTCTTCTTTTTTGATTATGGCGTGTATAGTTGACCATTCTTTCAAAAAATGGGCACATTAAATAATATTATATGCATAAAAACAAATTTAAAATTCTTTTTAAAATCTTTGTGCAGAATGATTTGTATTAAGGTTTTCAATTTTTTGATTAGTAAATATAGTTTTCACTTAATAACAATATCACTTAACTGGATGAAAGTAATGCAGAATTTTAAGATTTATATATTATAAATTATTATAATTAAAATAAAAAATGAAAACAATTTTTGTAAAAATTCATTATTCATGTTTTTCTTAAGACAATAGTGTCCTTAATAAATCTTATTTATAAAAGCAATTAAAAGTATTTTTAATTAAATAATGTCATTGTTTTATTGCATTTTTTATTTTATGATTCAGAGCAGATTTTCAGGAGTAGTAGTTTAAAAATAATTTGATTTATATTCCCCAAGAAGTCCTGCTTTTAACTAATGAAAAAAAATTTTGGATGAAAATTTAATAAGTAAAAAAAAAAAAAAAAAATTTTTTAGCCTGGATTTTCTTAAAAAACCAAGACAAAAATAATTTCATTAATTTGTGAATAAATCCTGAAAGTTTCATTAAAATCCAACAGTTATTTCATTTTTGCAATAATTCTCTTTTGGAGTCTCCATTGAAAAATTCTAAATAAAAATATTTCTGCAAAAGTATCAAACAAACATGTCTATGTTTTTGTTTAATACTTTTAACTTACTAGAAAAACAAAAGACAATTAGGTTTTCTTAGTAATTATGTTTAGTCTAAAAATATTTTAAATGTTAACCAAAGTGCTTCTAAGGTTTCACTGTCTTAATAAATACTGTGAAATGATTTATGCTGTTTTATTTCTAATCTTAAATCATATCTTCAGAGTGCATTGTCATGGATCACTGGTTAGAAAGCTGGTTTTACAGATTCTTACTGCTGAGTAGTGGGTTCAATCCTCACTGGACGCCCCATGCCTTGGGACAAAACTTATTTAACCTTAATAAATATTAACCTTTAGCACTCTGTAGGTGACTATTTTTGCCAAGCAAAATGTTAGCCCTACCAATGCAATTTGAATTTCTTGGTTGTGTAGTCATATCCTTCTATGGCAACATCTAATAGAATCCCTACTAAAATTGAAAGCCAGGCTACTGCAATTTCAGATATATAGAACTAATTGATTTCAAGTGGGAATTACTCCAGAACATGTACCCCTCCTCTTTTATATGCAAAAGCAGACAAATGCATGCTGGGATTTTTTTCTTAGCCAATAAAATAGACCGGTTTGCAGTTTGACATGACTCTGTCCAGATTTGCCTTGTCTAGAAGACAGAATGCTATGTTTGCTTGTCTGAACTTGCTTTTGTGTGTCGATGCCAATTCTTAGTTCGTGAACTTTTTTCTTACTTGCTTATATTGTTTGCTTGCTTGTTTGATATTATTTCATTTTTGTCCTGCTCCTTTCTCTTTTTATTGCAAACTTTGTTAATTTGATTTGTTGGACACTTATTTATTTTGCATTTGACTATGGCTACTCACTCCACACTAATATATAAAACACTATTTTGAGAGGATCCCACATACTGTAAAGGGAGAAGTAATATTTATAAATGATGCAGTGTGCTAAATGTTAAGGTTGCATTATAAGTAATTTTCATTTTGGGTAACCAATTGTAATGAAAAATGTATCATCCTAACTACTGATCTTATATGACTGTTAAGAATAAATGTGGAGTTCACTAACATATGACAATGTTCAACTCAAAAGGCAATGGGTTGACAAGGATAAATCATTTACAATTGATCCCAAAAGCTTTTCTCTATGAAAGAAACATAATGTTGTGCATGTGGTGTGATCAGGAGAATATTAATCATTAAGAGTTCTTAAAATGCAATGACATGTTAAATCTCCAGCAGCTGCAATGTGTCCATAAACATTTGGTCAAAAAATGTCCTGCACCCATCAATAAAGAAAATCTTGGTCTCCAGGAAAATGCAAGGTTGCATACAGCAAAAATAACACCGGAAGGAAAGTTTGGACTCTGTTGGTCTGTTCTACTCCACCAACTATATTCACTTGGCCTTGCATTACTGTCTGGTTAATGCAAGGTATTGGTGAAAACAAACAAAATACCTCTAGTTCAGTCAGATAAGATAAAATAGGCTGTATTTGATTGTATATAAAATTCACTTGTTTTCAAAAGAAACTTAAAAATAAGATATGGCTTTAAAATATCTGTTTAACCAATCACTGTATACCACCTATATTTCTACCAAACAGTACTTCATTTTTTTAAATTTTTTTTTAATGCCATGTTTGTCCTTTCAGGATATAGGTGATCATCACTCTGATATATTTCTTTCTTTATTATCTGTGAATTGCTATGCTTCTTTGTGAAATACGATGGAGTGTTTTCTTCATTGCCTTTTACTTTACTGGCTACCACACAAGGTTGAAGAGCCCAGTCTACCTTGCTATTTAACCTATTTTATAAAAATTAAATACCATATCTCCATTAGAGCAATCAGAGAGATGAGTTTGAATTCCTGTTAGGTTCATTACATTTACTTACTTACAAATACCATTGGGAAAGATATGAAGCCATTTACCCCCACCAGCTATGGGTTAAATACCAGGACTTGTATCTGGAAAGATCATTATTGTTCTATAAAAAAAATTGTTGATACAACATTAACTCACAAAAGAGAATTATTCTTACAATCAAAAACGTGTTTCAGCTTTACATAACCCATGATAAGGTTGATAAGCTGTCAAAAAAAAATTTCAAAAAATCTATGGATCCAACAGGGCATATGTGATCATTACTTTCTGTAGATTCATTTTCTTTATTATCCATGAATTTCTATAAGTTCCTGGAAGTAAGAAATAGTTATCCATCTCATAGACTGATTGTCAATCAAGGCCTGAGCCTAATCTACTCTGTAAACAGGGAAGTGGTCTTCTCTAAATACAATAATTAAAATCTTTCAATATACAACTATTCTTCAATTCTAGAAATTTATTTTCTTTTTTAATTTTTATTATTTCAGAAGTTTCTGAAGGACGAGAAACTTTGGTTGAAGGAAGGCATGAGTTTAATTTTGCATTTGATCTCCCTATGGGGTAAGTACTTTTTTATGTAATACCATTGAAAAATAATATACAGATATTGAAAAACAAAAAGAATATATATATCTGAATGAATTTATTAGGGTCAACCATAAAATAAAAAGATATATAATTAAATGGGAGAACATTAAATCGACATGAGTTACATTCCTTAGAAGATTTCTAATCTCCATGCATTAGAGAGTTCATCTTGTGAGGTTTTTCATCTTTTGGGAACATGATGAACTGAACTTCCGCACAATCATGCATGTAGTTTCAATCCATACTAAATCTACCTAAGTTAACTTCCATCTAAGTATTCTTAATATATTTGTTTCAATTTTTACATTACTAATCATATTAATTATACACACTTTAGAAGCAATAAACCCTGTGGGGTCATTTTCATATAACATGGGCAACATTTTATTTGAATTATGACTCTGTTTGTCATTAGGATTAGTTCACATCCTATAACAGATTGACAACAACATCTATGAGGCTATCAAATCATGAATGCTATATACAAGTTGATTGAAAAGTAACTCCCTATTTTATATATGATGGACTCTCTTGTCTTGTAAAAATTATAGTTTGATGGGAGAGTCCATCATACATCAAATAGGGAGTTACTTTTCAATCACTCTGTTCTTGTATATGATACCAGGTATCATGTATTAGTCACTGGTCTGTTGACATTAAACATTTGAAGTATAGTTTTTAATGACTAAAATACCAAAATAAATTTCATTGACCTATAATCAAATTTTATAGTTCTCCTGACATTATAAAGGATTGAACTTTTCCATGATATACATTCAAAGTTATTTTTATTGACAGAGGCAGAAGTTAAAATTTTATGTTCAATATTGATGGCAAGACCCACTTTTTTGTGTGCATGTTTCTATAATAAGTAAATAACCCTTTCCATTATGGGCTTATGCTATACAATATATACTATATTTGATGGTATATGACTCACTTTTTCCCTTAAAATAATTACAATTTTATAGATTTATAATTGTGATAGAAACTTGTTTGAAATTGACCCAAATAAGAAAAATGGATGAAATTACACTGACATTTGATGAACTATCTGTCAGTTTTTTTCTTCATATTTCCTACTGGAATTATGGGATGCTTTTGTATATGTCAATGGTGGCGAGATTGTCAATTTAAATCTTTAGTAGTAGTTGGATCACTTAGTCATAATACTAACACGTTGGATGTAGTCTAATTTTTTAATGTATTCATTTTATATGCAAACAAATATTGTAATCCTGTAAAAGAAAATAGTAAAATAGTTTGTTTTACTATCCAACAAATTTTCATTAATATTTTCTGTTGGAATGTTGGGAGGGTATTTTATATTCCAAGCATGACTAGACTGTCCATTTAAATCTTTGGTAGATAAGCCCTTTAGTCATAATACCAATGCCTTGGATGAAATGTAATATTTGTTCTTAATATTTCCTGTTGGAATGTTGGGAGGAGCGTCTCGTGTTTCAAGGGTGGCTAGACTGTCAATTTAAATCTTTGGTTGATGGGCCAGTTAGTCATAATACTAATGTATAAAACTGTATTAAGCAAATATTTTTTTTTAAATAAATTTGAGATGACAATTTAGACAAAATAAAAAAAAGTTTTATTTTGTCCAAACTGTTCTCAGTTATACTAATTTTCTTAAAATAAATTAACTGAAATAATAAAATAAAAATAAACTGGCCATTTTTTAGATTTTTAACCTTTATTAATCCATCCTGTCACTGAAGATGACTCTGATTCCTGATAGTGTGTTTGAATTTCATAGTTGTATTATCATATCCATCTGTCAACCAAAAACAAATTTGAGTGAAATCTTACTTATTATAAAATGCAGATTGTGTGTGTGTAACGTTTATATATTGGATCGGATTTCCTACATTTTTCAACTGATTTCAACAAAACTTCACAGGACTACATAAAATTACCTTGTGGTGGTTCTAACAGCGCCAAAAATGGGAAAAATATAATTGTTTTTGCACAAAATCAATTTGAAAAACGATTAAGAGACATCGTGAAAATGGAAGGGGACAACTCACATCGGGTTGTTTGTGTGTGTGGGTTCCTTTAAATATGGGATCGGATTTCCTATATTTTTCAGCCGATAAAACAAAAAAATTTTTTTTTTTTTTTTTGGCAGGTAGTGTTTCTTATTCTCTTGCACACTTTTTTTCTTTATTTTTAATATTCACAATGCTTTAAAAAATTCCATTTACAAGACAATTATTTATAATAAAATTCTATTCAATCGGGAGACTCATAACGATTGAAAACAATGTTTTTGTTTGAGTTTGGGTTTGACCAATTTGTAAAAAAAACAAAAAAAAAACAACTAATTTTCAGACATGCGTGTCTGTCAACCTTAAACAATAATCTTTGTCAATTTTATTTTTCAGTCTTTATGATGGTGGATACTTGATCTATCTTTTACTGTTATATCCCCGGGCAATGCCGGGCTCTACTGCTAGTTAACAATAAGGATACTGCAATTGAGAGGCTTTGAAAAAGAATGTAATAGAAAGGGAGGTAATATTAAAAATGCAGAGTGTTTAAGGTTAAATTTTGTTCATTCTCATTTGTCAATAAAAAATGAAAATTGACACTGATAGGAAATATTAAAGTTCTATTAGTGTCAATTATTCTTAGCACCCTCCCCTCACTACATACCTTAGAAATTTCAACTGTCTCTTTTCTGATGTTAGTCATAGAAATTATTTTGTGTCGCAATTTCTCTTAAAATTTATGGTATATGCTTCAATGCTAAATATGTCTGTTAATATAACACGTGATTGATTGAAGAGTGGACACTATATTAAATTTAATTAGAATTATCTGATGATAGAACATCATAGTTCTTTTTATTCATGATTCTTTTCATGACTACAAACTGTTTTAAACAGTAGTGACTTTATTTTGTCATGACATGAACCTTTTTTTTTTTTTTTTAGATGGTTATTATTAAATAAGATTGACAGCTATAGAGAATGGCATTTCGATCGTTTTTTTATTTTGTAGAAAATTTTGTTCTATATAATAAATGCAAATATCACTGTTTCCCTTTTTTCAATCAAAGGGACACAACTCTCTAATTTTCAATAGCTCATGTTACAAAAATTTTGAATTCCAAAATTTTCATTATTGTCAATGGTTTTTTTGTGTAATTTTTTTTTGTGTCAAATTTTTGTACAATAATAATTTTTATAACTTGGAAGTAAATTTGGGAATAATCAAAATTAATTGACAAATCCATTGAAAGTTTTTAATAATTATCTGTCTATATTTCTGCGATGAGGTATTATAATTACTTACACTGTTTACATTGTTTGGACTGTTGTCCTCATCTTTGTTGCTATAATCACAATGTTTTAGCTGTTGTACACTCCAGCCTTCTTAAGATGATTGGAATTTCAAATTGAACTCTTTATTTCATCCACTGAGGTAGATTGTTCTAGTTCCATGTTCCATTCCTCTTCCCTTAACTCAACTCTTCAAGGTTTTGCTCACCATGCCGTAGCCAGGTATTGAACTCACAACTCTTTGGGTCTGGTCACTGGGTTCAACCAACACTTTTATCCACTGAGTCACTTAGAATTGATAAATAAGTTTTGTCCATTCTCTGATGCTGTGGTCATTGTAACATACCCAGAGACAACATTTGAAAGACTTGCTGGTGACTTTAGATGGCTAAATCCATCCTGCTACATTTAAAAACATATACTCTTTTTTCACCACCCTTTTAAGCAGGCTTGCTACTATGTTTGAAAACATATACCTTCTTTCTCCTCTTTGTTAAAGAGGTGGCTACTTCTTTTGGTTACAAACAAACATACATTTACTTCCATCTGGAATCTTTCTCTATCTCTTGGATGTGTCAGAAATTTTATCCTTGAACTCTTGAGACTTCAGCTTTTCCTTATCTTTCTGTATTATTATATTGGGTTATATAAAGGTTTATTTTGTATTTATCAACACTGTGCATTTTCTTTTAATCCTTACACAAGGCCAATATATGCCCAAACCAAATATAACAATATATAGTGTTGTCATAACTTATCCATAACAAATAAACTCTGTAACTATGAGAATACATTGTGTCAGTTTCAAATTAATGAATGGATAAAAATATTAAGTGCCTGTTGAAAACTGATATTTAAATTTTTAAACAGTAAAGATTTGTAAATTATATTCCTCAATTGTTTCGTTTTTTCAGATTTGCATAAAGATGTATGATTTTTTTTTCTCTCTCATTAAGATATTCATCATCATTGAAAATCTATTTTCTGGTTATAAACTTTAGAATCATTGATTGATTATGCCACATATATTATTAATTTTAATTCTATCTATACTAAAACCCCAGAATGTTATTGACTCGCCTTTCCCATAACTGATGGCAGATCATTGTACATTAAAAGAAATATGAAACACTTTCATTTTCAGAGATAATGCTATTTTGTTCCTAATAAAGTTTCTCAGCTCACAGCATATCTGAGACAAGGTTACATTGATCAAATGCTATGGATGGAGGTGGGGAATACTCTGAAAGTAATGGTAATATTAGGCATTTTCCTATAAGGAAACACTAGCAGCATGGCCCGGTGTTGCCCCGTGCTTGATTCAAAAATCGTATGACTCGTACAGCAATCGCTATCACTTGACTTAAAATATTTTTGCCCATCCTTGCCTTTAAAGGAGTGCCCTTTGCCGTGCTGATGTTGCTACATGCCTTACTTCTTGCCTATCTCACACTGCAAATTTTTTTCTAAGCTCTATACTAAACATTAAATCTGTTACGAAAAAAAGAACTAAACAAAATGAACACAAAATGATCAGCTTTAAAAAACGACTCGTAACTGGAAAAACCGAATGAAAAAAGAATGTTAACAACAAATACTTTTTCACACCCAACCTAGGTCTTCAGAATCGGAATCAATGTTGAGTTTAAGCAAGCGAATGAGCCAATTGGAGTAAAG